TTTACTTATTTCATCAATTAGAAACAAGTAACATCAAAAGAAATTCTTACTAAACAAATAAAACATGCAGCTTGAAGAATTCGATAAAAATTTATTTTAGAAAATTCTTTTTCTTGGACTGTTTCTTTTAAACAAACCTTATAAAATAACAGATATGATATTTATATTAGCAAACTATATACCATTTTGTAGAGAATTAAAAGATAAATCATTTGATAAAAAAATAATACAGAAACAAATAAATATTAATCTAGATATCCTGAAAATACTGAGACGCGCATTATGTACAAAAAATCATTGAAATCAGAAGGTAACAGGTAAAGAAGTCTCTCGAAAGCAATGAATTTAGGCATTTATTACTGCTACTTTCACTTGTTTTTTGTTACGTGAACAGGATTGCTTTCGGTTACGTTCATATTTCATACAAGATAGTAAAATACCAAGTATAATGAATAAAGCTGAAAGTACACCTGTAATAAACCAAATTAAGTATGACACTGCTCCTCCACAATGAGCAGTATGTTGCGTCGAACAAGTTTTCGATGGTTTAGGTGATTCAAGTCTTAATGTATAATCCCAAGCATCATGAACAGATTCTATTGAAATATTTATGTAGCAATTAATACAATTAATTATTTTATTGAAATAATGAAGTTTTGAATCAACATCTGTATAGTACGCAAAAAATGTTTTTAATGGAATTTGACAATAGTTTGATATTGAAATATTAAAATAGATTGTATCATCTGTACAAAATGAATCAATAATGCAAGTTTCACATGATTTTGTTTGTTTGAATGCATTGGTTTGACCAACGATAATAAAAACTTCATAAAGTAGAAGAAAATTTATCATAACAAGCATATCAAACTAATGCGTTTGTGTTTTTTTTACTTTCTTGAAACTTTTTCTTTTCTTCTTATCTTAACAACGAAAAAGGTGTTCTTCATCATAGTTTAATTCATACTCATATTTAGAAAAGTTTGCTGCATCATCCTCATTGCATGGCAAAACATTTTTGACAGAATCAACATAATTTGTAGCTTCAAATAATGTTAAATATGGATCAATAGGATTTATCCAAAGACATTCAGATTTTTTATTATCATTTTTTGTAGATTTAGATCGCCAACGAGCAATAGGAACAAAACTTTTGTCCATATGATTTCCATCTAATTGATAAAAGGAAGATTCCTTTGAAGACTTTCCCAAAGGATCTAAACATCAACAAAAAAAAAAGATTCATTGAAAATTTATTTATCATTTTTAAAAAAAGAATAAATTCGTTGAGTATAATTGGATCTCACAAAGTTTATAGATTAATATTAATGTTATCACATTGGAATGCATCAGCACTGGCATAGTAAGTACAAATAGATCAGTCATATGAATCTGTCAGTATAACTAGCATCAGTTTGATTGGTCTACTGGATAGGACTGATACTGATACATCCTGAGCAGTGCCCGGCATAATCATGGTTACGGTCGTGACTGAAATTTGGTCACGGGTACTAAAGTAGTCAGATATCCTGTGTCTATGTTAATTATATTAGTTCTTTTTACAATACAAATAATTTCATATTCTGACCTTACTGTAATAATTTATTCATTTTTTTCTGAATCAAAATAACTGTTATAGGGAAAATTTAAAATTTTTCTTGGACAAATTAAAATTTGAGAGTGAGGAGAGCCATATGATATTTTTATCTATCCTAGGAATATTTTGAACTTTTCCGAATTCTAATTTCTCTTGCAACAAAAACATCATAAAAGTATATATTTTATTACAAATACAATTAAACGAAAACATACTCGTATGTTACTATTAGAAATGTGCACAGCCAAAAAAATAAAACTTTACCGAGACAAAGATTCAAGTTTATCGTAAAACATTCTATTATTTTGAGCAAATTATCTTATAAATCATATGAATCAGAACATAATTGAAGAGAGATGACCCAAAAAAGTGCTAGTCGTCGGCTTAAAAAATTTAAAAAACCGAGTATTGAAGAATTAATTTAGAGATGATACGAATAAATTCTGGAATAGTTTTCTCTAGACCGAGGGCACGACCCGAAAATCCAAAAATTACCGGGAATGAGGTCCAAAAAACTAAAACCATTAGGACCAGACCAGAACTACACTAGATTTTCCGAAACTATGACTGGAACTGGTAGATAAAAACGTTACCAACACTGGAATCAGAAAAACTGAGTCTTGACGGGTACTAATCTCGAGTGTTGCACTTCGGCATGTGTGAGACCAAAGTTGCTCGGTCTCTATCTCAATAGCTTCTTTTTGACCAGTCACAATCGGAGTCTCGGTGAATTTGGCATATTCTCGATCTCGCACATGCCTACTTAGGTGTAACAGTTACTGAAAAAATAGTTAAAACTTTAACTTATTTAAAATAATTTTGTGAGTCAAATTAGAAAAGATCGTCAGACGAGACAGCTTCTCCATCATGTAGTCTAAATAAACGTGTATTATTAAAGGATTTATTACAGTCATATTCACAAACACAAGACAGAACAATTATCTAAAGATGATGAAGCAATGTCCAGTAAATAAGATGAACAAATGCAATCAACAAAGACATATTTTAATGTTCCTAACAATGAAATTGTTTATTTCTCTTTTTTATATATGCATGTATATGATTGTAATTTGCTTATTCATTAAAATTCAATATTTACAGATTTTATTTGTATTCATGTCATCTTGTTTATCATAAAGTGTTTTTTCTGTATTACAACATATTAGCATGAAAATAATAGATTGATTTATGATGTACGAAAAAACTTCACCTGAAAAGTCATAGAGTCCAAAATATCATATAGTCTCAGATTCCGTAGATGTCTAGTTGCACTATATCACAAATCACAGATATATGATTTACATGCTAAGGTAGGTCATAAGAATGACATGCAAGTCAATAAAGAACTTTATCAAAACCTCAATCAAATGATATTTCTTCAATTTGAACTGACCTATTTTTGTATCGAGTGGTGTCAATGTTTGTGATGCTAGTTTCGTTGATATTAGAGATGGTTGCTTATCTTTATCAGTTAATTGTGAACTACTGGAAGATTTTTTTCGTTTTTTTAATTTTGATTTTCTATTAGTTCTTGTTTTTCTTTTCTTTTTTCGTCTTTTAGATTTTGATCTTCGATTTGATTTTTTTCTTTTTTTCGATCGAGATGATCTTTTTCTTTTCGATCTACTTGAACTCCTTTTCTAATAAATGAAAATATTCATTCTATTATTCATTTCTTATTATAATTATACAAACACTTTTTTTTCTTGATCGTCTACGACGTTTAGAAGCATTTTCATTCATTGTCATATCAATATTAATTTTTCTTTTTCTCTTTTGATCCATCCAAATTTTGAATATTAAATATCCAAAAACTACACATGATAAACTTCCAACCAACAGAAGAATAATAACTCCTAACATTCATCTACCCGCCATTTAACATTCATATAAATCCTATTTAGTTATTCGTCCTTTTTTTTTTCAACATAATATCATTAGGAAGCAAAAAAAAGAGAGAGAAAAAAAGAAAAGAAAAATGTTCAAATGACCACAACAAGAACAACAGCAAAATCGAAAAGTGAATACATGAATAAATTTTCTTATGTCTGTTTTATACAACAACAAAAAAAGAAAAGAAAAGAAAAGTAATCCACAACAACGGTTATGCAGTTTAAGAGAGAATAAACAAAGGAGACAATGACAAAAAAAAAGACAAAGCAACAGCAAAAAACTGTTCGATTAAGAGAGAATGTTTGAATAAGAGAAAAGAAAAAAAAAAGGAAAATTCCTGAAGAAAACGCCTCATACGGCAAATATGCTATTTTCATAGAAAATAGACCAAAAGAAGAAGAGAGAAAAAGAAAAGTTTTATATGTATACACAAAACAAAAAAGAAAAAAGAAAGAATCCTTATCAATATATTGGTTTGCTAATATGGACAGAAATACGTGTGCAATAGCTACGTATAACTTAATTTTGCATTTTATGTTTGATTTTATAATCGCTTGAGTGGCTGTTCTAATAAATACTTGTAGCAAAAAAAAGAAAAGAACATATGCTAGAACTACATTGGAAAAGGAAAAAAAATAGGAGAGCGAGAGAGATCATGGCTGCTGTTTTGTCGATGGTTGTGGTTGTTGTTGTTCAAGAGACGGTTGTGTTGATGGAGCATAGGAACGTAATATTGATTCATCTGAGACAGACATTGGATTGGCTCCAGGAAAATTGGCATAACCAAAATTCTAGATATAAAATCAAAAAGATTTGAATTTTTTCGCTATAAAAAAAAAAAAACTTACGGAAATATTCCACGTTGGTGCAAAAAGTTGAGGACTAATTCCAGTACCACTAGCAGCAAGAATTTGTGAAAGAAGTTCAAGACTAAGACCATTGTTTGTAGGTGTTCGTCCATTTTTTGCTAATGCATATGCTGCTGCAGCTGTTGCTGTTACATCGATTTGTTCATATGATGATGACGTTGATGTTGATGTTGATGTTGAAGGTATCGTTGTTGGAATTCCAGAAGGATTCGTTGATGTTGATTGATGATGAGATAGAAGATCAACTTCTGATGATATAACTTTTTTATTATTAGGTATTGTTGTTATATTTATTTTTTTAGTTGTATTAGGATTATTATTATTGTTATTATGATTATTATTATTGTTATTATTATTATTATTATTATTATTATTGTTATTATTTGATGATTGTCGAAGTTGATTTTCAAGAAGTGATTGATGTATTAATGAATTTGTTTGACGTGGTGATTTACTTTTTTTAATTGTTTGTTGACATGTATCATTATTATATTGATTAATTGTATTTGCTGATAAACGTCTACGTGATGGTGATATTGCTTTTTGTTGCTGTAATTGTTGTTGAAGTTCTAATTCAGCTAGAAGTTTTTGTTGTTTAAGTTGTTGCTGTTCTTTACGTGGACTTGGTGGAACAGCAGGTAATACAACTGCTGCTGCTACTACTGCTGCTGATGATGATGGCGGTGGCGGTGGTAGTGGTGGTGATACTTGACTTATAGCTGCTGGTGTTGTTGTTGTTGTTGTTGTAGATGAAGGAATAGTATCATTAATTGGTAAAATTTCTGAAAGTCGACGTCGAAGATTAGCATTTGTAACACGAAGTGAATCTCGACGATGTTTAAGTTCTTCAAATTTTTTTTGTAATGAAGCATTCTCTGATTTAAATTGATATAAACAAGATAATAATGATGATACATCATGTGGCATTGTTTGTTGAAGAAGAAAATCACTTGATAATTCCCATTCTTGTTCAAGAAATTCTTCTAATGTTTGTGGTGGAAATGTACGTTGTTGTTGATCAGTTGTTATTGATAATGTTGATGTATTTTGTAATGGTCTTCGAGGATAAAAATCAATACGTGGTGTTGTTGTGACTGTTGATGATGATGGGACACGACTACGTGATATTTCTTCAGTTGTATCTGAAAAAGAAATTTTTTATTGATTAAATATGATTTTGTGGATTTTTTTTTTAGTTTATGTTACCTAGAGAAGAAATTTGTTGTAGTTGTTCATCGGAATGTCCATGTTGTTTAAAAGCATCCGAATTAATTTGATTACCAAAATGATCACATGGATAATAATGTGTTGAACGAGAATTTAATTTAATTTCATTATCATTATCATTTTCAGATGAAGTTTTTGATATATTTATTAATGTATCATTTGTTTTTTGTTGTTTCATATTATTATTATTATTATTTATTGTAGATTTTGGTGATGAACGGTTTAAACCATTTGTTAATTGTTGTGCTAATACAGTTTTTTTTGATGGTGGTCGACCGACAGGTCTTGGACCACCTTCAATTGAATGTTGACGTTTTTTACGTGGTAGTCCATCTTTAGTTAATTTAATTGAAAGTTTACGTTTTCTATTTATTTCATAATCTTCATCGTTATCATCATCTCTATAAAAAAAAACCAACGAGAGAGAGAGAAATTTTTTGTTTTTTTAAATAATAATAATAATAATAATTTATTTTTACTTGATTTTTGTAGTAATAGGCTTTTTTATTGAACTTAAATTTATACTTGTTGATAAAGTATCAATTGAATGTCGTTGTTTTATAGAAGATTTATTATTATGATTATCATTCGAAGGTGATGTTGAACATCGAGATGCAAAGGATTTTTCTTCGTTTGTTTTCAATGACGATTGATGATCATGATTTGGATTAGATGATTTTGAACTATCAGCTGTTTTTTCTCTATTACAAAAAAACAACAACAACAATATTATTATTCCAATTACTCATATAACATTGTGAGAAATAAAATATAGACGTCACAATAATGCCGAAGAGAATCAAAATATATATTACAAGAAAAATTATAATTTTCCTAATGAAGGAACCACTCGAGGTGGTATCTCGCGTTTGAGATGAGGCTTCAGTCATTACGTGGAGCTTGTTGAGGCTAGATAATATATATAGAAGGATTCTTCCCTATGTGCTGTCCTTTTGGAGTTATGACCGTAATACTGAATATTTTTACCTGTCGCACCGTATTTATGAAAACTGGATAAACGTATTTTGGCCTAAAATTTCATTCATACACAGCTCTTGAAGTTATTGGCGTCTCCTAAAAATTTCGGTCAAAAAACAGTGGTCGTTTCACCCACACCTCTCAGGAAAACTGATTTTCGAATTTCGGCATGAAGTTCTACATAAAGAGAAAGGAGAAGAGTTCTTTATGGATGTTTCCAATCTGATCATTGTTCCTATCCTAAAATACAACTATAGCAATGGCGTACCATTTACATCGCTGATATAAACTGATAAATTTGATAGTCATATTTCAGAATATGAACAAATCAAAAGACCTGACTCTTTCATAATAAACTATTCTTGTTAATGCTTGTCTCTATGCAAAATTTCAATTCAAAATACGAAAATCAGTTCTGCGATATTCATATAAAATCTCTCGTACCTTTGCGATATCTCCGTAGCAATAAACTAAGAGTCCGAACGCTTTCCAGAATATTCAAAACTCATTTGAGTCTACATGATATACACATTCTCAACTCAAAAGAAATAATTCCTTACTACAGTAAAATCTTCCATAGTGGGTATTTGTGAGACGTCTGAAAGATATCCACTATAGAGATTTTATACTGTATATATTTCCTACATGAACCTCCGACTGATCGATATGTATTCAATATGATTTATAGAAAATGTCGCTAAAACGAAAAGTTCCCTTCCCATGAAGAAAAATCCTTCGAAAATTTCTCTCGGTATCAAAATAAAAAAATTGCTTGATTTTGAACATATATATATATATATATATATATATATATATTTAAAGAAACAAAACTACTATACACAAAAAAATTTTATATTAAAATGCAATTCAATTTTATCAATCATCGAGTAATTGCGGTAGTCTTGAAACTTATGCATTTTGAAAACGTCTTAACACAACTGAACTCGAACATTAGTGCTATTGAAAGAGACATATATTTAATGGTAACAGAAATTAAAAAAACCCAATTGCATTATTCTCTATTAGATAAACTTCGTATCCTAATTTCCAAAACAGAAAAAATTTTTGTATAAACAATAATTTCCTTCCACATGTGTAGGCGCATATGGATGTATTCTGCACCTCTGCTCTCTACTGTCGTCTCCTACAATTTAATGGTCGTAAATAGCCATACATTAGCCCCAGTACAAATAAACACGATC